AATATTATAGTTTTGTTTCTTTTAGTTAGTATAATTATAATTAATATGGACTTTTCTTTGAAAAAAATATTTGGTGGTAAGGGTAAGAGAAAATCTAAAATTGGTGAATCTAGCCGCCAAACTACTACTCTTCCCCCGACTCCCCGATCCAGACCTGTTACCCGTCCTCCTCCACCTGTTATTCTTGATAGTGATAACCCTTATTTTCAATTTTTCGATAGTCAATTTTGCCATGATGTTGCACCAGGTCAACAATTAAATGATGAAATTATGAATGCTTTTTATCCTAATCAAACTATCTTTGAAAATAATGAGGAAAATGATGATTTAGATGAAACGCAACCAGATTTAGATGATACACCTACTAGTCATGTTAATAACCCAACTGATAATAATTCAAATGATGCCCCGCCTGACCCTCATGTAGTAACTCCTACTTTTAATAAACAACCTTCTAAATGGACCGAAACATCTCTTGTTTGACACTTTTTTTACTCAACTAAGAGAATAAAATAAGGCTAAGTGTGAAACTTGTGGGTCTTTGATGGCTCATAAATATACTGGAGATCGTAGCGATACGGGTACTTTGACTAGACATATAAAGAAACACCCTAGAGATAAAGCTAGATATTTACAAATGAAAGCTGTGCAAGAGGGGACAAGTGTAGATACTACGTTAACTCTAGTACAAGGTCAAAACTAGTTCAACCGGGAATTAACATTGTTACCGGTGACATTTTATATTATGATCCAAATAAAGATCGTGAAGAATTGGCAAAAATGGTTATTGTTATATGCTTATCCTATAGTTTTCCTTCTAACCCTCAATTTGTGCATTATATTAGAAGAGTTTTTAATCCTACTTATAAAGGATGGAATCGCGCAACCATAAAGAACGATATTTATAAATATAAACATAAATATGAACAATATTTGCGCTATTTATTTACTCATATAGATTGTCGCATTGCTATTACTACTGATATTGGTAGAAGTGGTAATGACTGTGATTATCCAGCTGTTACATGTCATTGGATAAATGAGGACTGGATAATGCAAAAGCGCATTATTGTTTATAGAATAATTAATTCACGCCACACAAGTAAGTTTATTGCTAACACAGTTGCAGATATTTGTAGATATTTTTGCATTAGAGATAAAATAATGTCGGTTTCAATGGATAATGCTTCTAGTAACACTTATGCTATAGACTTGCTTACAACTACACTAAATCCTGCATTTAGTAATATTTTTCATGTTAGATGTATTTGTCATATTTACCATTAATCGTCGGTGATGGTATGAAAATTTTAAATGCAGAAATTGAAAGGTTAAAATGGCTATTAATTGGCTTTTTTATTCAAACCGTAGAAGTAGACTTAGAGAATATTTTAAAAAATGTGATGAATTTGGCCTTAGAGAAAGAAAGGTTCCTAAACCTTGTCCGACTAGATGGAATTACATGTATGAAAGTTTCGTTGTTGCATATGAATATAGAAACTCAATAAACGCAACGTATAATGCTCGTATTGGTGGTGATGGTGATGATGATGATGATGATGATGAGCACCTTACAAATCAAGATTAGACTAATGTTAAAATGCTTGTAGACTTTTTAGAACAATTTTATGTTGCTACAAATGAATTATCTGGGCAATATTATCCCACTATTTCTAACTGTTTAGTTTATATTGCAGCACTTGCAGATTTATTTACTCAATTTTCAGAAGGTGAGGTAATTTATCAACATGCTATTGATTCTATGAAAGCTAAGTTTAAAAAATATTTTTTCCCTATCCCCCCTATTTTTGGTGTTGCTGCCATGTTAAATCCTACAATGAAATTAGGAGGTCCTCACTTTTGGTACACAAAAATTTGTAACGCTTTATCACTTTCAGCTGAGGAATTTGCTACACTTGGAGATGCAAAAGCCTCAATTAAAATAAATGCTCAAACAATTTATAATGCTTATCAACTTGCCTTAGATCATGCTAGACCAAATGTTCCAACTCCTACTTCGTCTAGTTCGCAATCATCTAAAAGAACTGCGGGCCTAAAAGCCCTTAGTTCTTGGACGGAGTTCAGGGATTCTCAAGGTGATAATATTGGTGATAGTTCATAACTAAATGAGCTTCAAGTTTATTTGTCGTAGGGACTTGAATTAGAGAATCCCGACGGCTCCTTCAATATTTTGGAATGGTGGAAGGACAAACAAAAACACTATTCGGTTCTTTCAAGGATGACTCGAGATATTTTAAGTGTCCAAACTTCAACAGTGGCATCGGAGAGCGCTTTCAGTCAAGTGAGACTTCAAATCAGTGATCATAGAGCGTCTATGAGGGAGAGCTTGGAAAAATCAGTACTCTTCAGAGATTGGATCCGTTCGGAAAGAAGAAATTTTGGACTTGTAGAATCACAACCGGAGATAGACGAAGTTTATGAAGAAATGCTAGCGGAACTTGCGCAAGATGCTTCTTCGCCTGGAAGCGGTGATGAACAAGCTTTTTTTCCACCACAACCAACGAAAATTCCTCCGGACCTTGAAGGATTTATGAGATATGTTAGAGATAATACATAGACTAATATGTAACTTGTATTTTGGCACATCTTCCTTAGTTTTTTTNATATATATAGTTTATAAGAAATTGCCTTAGATAAAAAAAATTCAAAAAAAATAGTCCAGAACACTTAGGCCCGTGGGCCCAATCCATTTAGCCCGGGACCATGTGAGCTTAGGTTCATAGTGGGCCGGTTCCACCCATCCGGACCGTTTGGCCAGGTCCATTGATCCCATTTAGGCCTGGGCCCGGGCCCGAATACAGCCTTAATGGGAAAAATAAAAAATGCAAGAGTGGGCAATACACATTCCTTTGTTTTGTTACATTTTGGTTAACAATTGTCACTCAATTAATGAAAAAACTAATCTAGCCTTTAAAAATAAATGTATGTCCACATGGCATTCATCAAGAGGACTATTGACAATTACTGGAGCTAGCGTCACTGGAGTTGAGCTGATCCCCATCGTGACCAAGTTGTGTTATACGAATTATTATCTGAAAGATTAAACTATTAAAGAAAAAATGTATTTACCATTTTATTTGGTGAGGAAATGGGCCTTAATGACTTTTTATAATGTTGAAATTAAAAAAGTATATTTCTTATGTGCAAAAGATAAATATGTAAAAGCAAGTTTATAATGACCCATACAACCATTTGATATGCTTGTTTAATGAATGATTATCTCTACTTTTTCGAGAATATTTTAAGATATTGAATCTTTCGTTAAAAAATATGTTTTCATTAAAATTAATACTAAAATATTTGTCTTTATTGTTCACGAATATGTTAAGATACTGAGTTACTTTTTCTTTTCAATTTTTTTTAAGAACAATCTCGATTCAGAACTTTGACTTATCAACGTCACATTTTTGTAAAATTTATTATAATTATTTTTGTAAGACATAAATTTTATAAAAAAACTAATGAAAAAAAGGACAGCTCGATGCATTAAGTTCCAACAACTTACGCTAAGGCTTTCCTTCAAAAAAAAAAGTTATTGAAGTTCCACTTATATTTTTAAAAGAGAAACTAAAAATAAAATCCAACTTGACAGAATGTTTCATGCTCCTAGTTAAGATTAATGGCAATTGCCATCGACCAAAGATTGGCTATCACAAAGCAACATGGGTATTAATTGGCTGATGCAGACTCAAGAGGGTGAGAATTGCCAACCTAAGTCCAGCATCAGCCTTCTGCTGTTCAAATTTAATGCAGTAGACAATTACGTCTACTTGTATGGCCCAGATTTCTTGGCCTGTTTCTTCCAACGGTCAAGATCTCTTTAACCTCAACTGTATTCCACTTACCATAATCCTTGGTCAAATCAATTGAAATTGTTGCCCTCCTTGGTTTTTTAAATTATTACTTTCTCTATCCTAATTTATAGGCTACCTTTTCCTTATTGATGTTTAAACTTTTTAATTTTTACCGTAAATTTGAATATAAAATCTTTAACTTTTATTTCAAAAAATTTATATATTTAAAAACTATGTAAAAACAATAATTAACAATTTAAATATTTTAAAACTTTATGAAAGAATCACTATCAAAGAAGAATTCGTTTTACTTTCGAAATATGAACACCTTCCCATTAAATGAAACGGACTGAGTATTACATAGCATGTCGGTGAAAAGTGAATTGAAAGAACTAGTAATTTCTTTTACGCAGGGCTATAACTCAACCTTGTATTTTCTCGAACGTCAAAGAAAAATATAGATGTTGGAGAAATAGTGTTTTAAAAACCATTCCCCTCTTTAAATGTGTACCTGAATTAAGAAAAAATTCGTACCTGATTTTTATATAAAAAAAAACCCATTCTTCTCGTTTTTGGTTATACTTGATGAGCTTTTAAATTTTCTTGACATAAAGAAAAATCAAATATAATGGTAAAGACGGTCCAAATTAGCTTTGAGTTATACGTTCAAATTCCAATTGTAACATCTTAAAAGGATTTGAATTTCTTTGTATAAATTTCTGATTTTACCACTGACTTTTCTATATATCAGGAAACCGAGTCAATGATTAATGCGAGAAGTGAGAATTACAAGAGGTGGAATGTACATGAATATTACTAGTCTATCACTAAGGTAAAATTTTGTGAAGGGAAGCGTTACCACAAATTAAGATAAAGATTGTTACTGTGTGATTGAAATATTACGATTTAAATCATAATAATAATTTAGTATAAAAACTAAATAAAGAAAATTGCATACAATAAACTCAATAAGATTCATGACTTCATGAAACTTAGTATAGACCGAACTAATTTGTGACTATGATAAGATTTTGTATCATCCGAATAACCACAAAAAAAAAAAAAAATGAAGAAGGTTTTCATTCTTCGAACATGAAGATAAAAAAGAAAAAAACATAACGAAATAGATGTTGACCAAAGATTAAAAAAATGATTATCCTTCTGTCCTCAAGATGAAAAGTGAGCAGCGTGCCATAGTGATGCCCCAACTGTCTCTGCATCAAACTTTTACTGTTGCTTCTCAGTTTCAGTTTCACACCTATAAATACCTTCAACTTTTGCCAGTAATGAAACCTCACCACAAAAACATCTAACTACCCCAAATACGACACTCAATTTCTCTTCAAAAAACATGGTTTGTTTCTGTTTTCTAGTTGATCAAACAAAGCAGGTGTGCAAGAGCAAACCGGCGGCTGGAACATGTTCCCGGTGCGGTGGTGGAGCAAGTGTTGCTGATATGAAAACTGCTACTAGGTTCTGCTTTGTACCTTTCTATTGGAAAAACTGGAAAGCTATTGTCTGTACATTCTGTGGTGCCATTCTTCGCTCTTACCGATGAAATTAATATCGTGTTTGAGAACGAGACGTAGTTTCTTATATCATCTTGGACAATCATCCACTCACGAACTAGGCTGAGGTCCATTTTACTAATTAAAATATAGTGTGTGTTGCAGCTTCTTCTCAACAGGCTGGATGAGTAATTTTTGTGCTAGTTTTTTTTTCCTCATTTTTCTTCTTAATTATTCTTTTTCCCCTAGGCGTTTATTTTTTAATTTATTACATGATGATTTAGATATTATTTTAAGAAGAAAATGTACTAACAGCTTCTATTGTAAATATATTCAGAAATATTTGGATCTCTATAATTCTTCTTTCGTTTTCTCCTTTTACTCGGTGTCAATCTTGAATCTGTCTCGCATAACAAAAGCTAATTGATGAAGGAATAAGCGATTTGCAATTTATATCATTGTAGCTTCTTTTTTTTCTCTTGAAAAAATCATACCCCTTTGTACCATTTTATATTCTACTTCTTTTTGTTTTTTGTCACTTTTAAAAAAGACACATTTTTTTATTTGAAACTTTAAACTTTTAATTTTGCTCTTGACCATATGCTCTTATAATCACAAAAATATCATAACATATTATTATCAAAAAAAGAATATACCATAACATGATGAAGATTAAAAGTTATAACAATACTTTTTATATGTGCAAAAAAAACTTATATTTTGATACGATAATCTTAAAAGGGCAGGCCAGCATACTAAGCTCCCGCAATGTGCGGGGTCCAGGGAAGGTCGGATCACAACGGTGTCCAGGGAAGGTCGGATCACAACGGTCTATATTGTACAAAGTCTTACTATGTTTTTCTGTAAGAAGAGGGAGTAACTTTTTGGTTGAATAAGGTATAAATACTTCAACTGCCAGTCTGAGCTGGGAACTGCAAATATCACTGTGTTATAATTGGCCGGCTAGTTCAAGCAAGGTAATTTACTCTCTAAAAAACCAAAAAGATACTAACATCCAAAATAATAAGAAGGAGGAGATGGTATTTAAACCAACCATTCAATACACAACAACCTACATACCAAGTTTTCTTGTTTAATCATCAAAGTAAAAAATCCAGCTAAATTCGTACTCTGGCAGCTAAAATAATAAAGAAGGAAAAGATCGAATAGCAGTAGGTGTAGGCATTAGTAGAATGAATATGGTCAGGTAGATCACATGCCAAGTGCCTTACAACCGAAGAAAATATAGCTGTATTGTGTTGGTGTGTTCATAATAAATGCACTTTTAGTACCCGGTAAATTCTTCTTTAATTTGTTGGTAAATTATTTTTCCTTATTCTCACCCAGAGGCGGAACTATATATGCTATACAGAATGCCCGTCAAATTCCATTTATACATGCATGTCTTTAGAAAATAGTGATATATTAGTAGGGGCACCCTATATACAAAGTAGATTTTGGTTGAATCCAGAAGTGCATCCGTGACCTTCAAATCCTGGGTCCACCTCTGTTTTCATCCGGTATCTGCATTAGGCTAAGATTAATTTGGATTTTCGCCAAGTAAGGCTTTTTTTCAATGGAGAAGTGCTTCCAATCATGATTTTTTTTTTTTTTTAAATTTTCAAGGCTCGAAATTGAAATTCTTAATTAAGGGAAAATGAATCTTATACATACCACTACAACATTTGAAGATCGTGTTGGTAGTATTAAATTCCAATAAAAATCAAACAACTTGTTATGCAACTGCACTTTGCACAATTGGCTAAATAGACAACAGAGACATGCCATAGGAAAATCCACAGTATATGCCAACATCATGCGATTGGGAACAGTCAAAGCCAGCTTTTTTCATTAATATTCTTGTTGGTGGGTCATTTCAAATACTAATGGTTGTAAATATATAGCTTCATGATTAAGGTATCATTTTTCTTGTGGGAGGCAAAATTCAAAATTTTAATTTAGTTACATTATTTCTACAACCATTATTTTGTTTATGACAACAAGTACAAACTTCTTGTATGCATATATATAAAAGAAGATAATGAAAAAAAAAACTGGTACGGAGTACTTTCCCTTTTAATAGGTTTTATATGGCGTAAATTTGAATTAGTTAGGTCTCAATATGGATATCGTTAACTGACATCATATGGAAACCAAAAGAAAAAAAAAAACATACATAATTTTGTCTGCGCATGCGCTACTTGTAATGTCATTTACTCTTGCATAGCATAGTAATGATAGTTTAATTATGCTACTGACACCGATACTGATTAATTAGTTTCCAAATATAAGTACACAATGTGGAATACACATTTATCAACCATATATATAGTAAATGATATATTTTGGAGCTGGATATAATTTCTTTAGTATATGTCTAGTTAAATTACAGTTATAACTAATCACTTTGTGTCATCTTGATTAAGTTTAATACCTTTGCCTTCATTGAGAATTAATCTAATCCGTTATTGGTATTAGGACAGAGCTATAATATTAGGTACCGGTTCATAAGAATACAATAATTTTTGCTTAGATCCTTTGTTTGTATCATAAAATTAGTTAAATACATAGAAATATTCAATTGTCAATCCAAAAATTAAAAGTGAGTTGTGACTGTAGGAGTGGAGCAATGATTTGAAGTTTATGGGCTCGTGATTCTAATTATTTTTAAGTTACTGAGTTCTAAATTAATAATTTGTACATATTTAATGAATTTCATCAAACAAATACAGGGTTTGAACCAAAGTTATTAGGTTCAGCCGAACCCGTAACTCGCTCTCTAGCTCTGCCCCTGATTGTGAATTCGGTGGTAAATTCAAAATTCATAGGTTTCGAATCTTAACACCACCTCTGCAGGCTGCAGTTGTGCATGGATGATGGATTGGTATGGAGTGATGGGTTGCCATCTTTCTGCAATATTACATGCAGTTCATCCGCGTGAAGAGTGTATGACTTTGTGTATAAAATATTTATATCTTCTGTGTCAGCTATAAGAAGAATAAAATTAAAAGTTGGAGCTTTTATATAGTCAACAAGTTCCTTTATAAATCTCAACTTGTCCACTGTGCTAAAATTAATTAAGTATCCTCTGATTTAACCAACATCAGTAATTGCATTCTGTGGACTATGATCTGAAGTAAATCTTGGATTGGTTAATTGAAAGCAGTCATTATATAATTGTTAAGTAATCAAGAAGATTTTTTAAAAGGTGTTATAAGTAATATTTAATTAATGGTAATAACCCCAACCCCCATCTCCCCAACAGTAAATTTTGGCTTCATAATGACAATATAATTGAACCTAAGACCAAACCATTGTCTAATTCTTTGCCTTTTCAGACCAAATTAAACAACACTTGACGATATTAGTTTCCATCTAGTATAGTCTCTTGCTAATAAATGTTGAAAATTTTCTATTTCAAGGAGTCCATGTACTTTAGATCACTTTCACGTAGGGACAAATTAAATTACACCTCATCCTTCAAAATAGGAAAGTGTGGACATACTAATACAGTGTGTGGTGTACAAATTCAATTAATATTTCGTAAATGAGTGCAAGTCCTTTTTCCATATCATGTCATTATAATTGATCATTAAGTCTTTTTCAACTTAATGAAATCTTTATTTCTCCAACGTACATGTGGATGACAATTTATCAACTCCATTTATGAAATGTATCATACAGAAAACGATTATGTCACTGTATATATTATTGAAAAATTCCAAACTTGTCATTAATCTGTAGTTAATATTTCAAATGAGCCTATGAATTGTTGAAAAGTCAAATTCAATATTGTAAGTGCAAGCCGACGTTCCTAATATGAAAGTAAAAGCCGACCCGAAGTAGGAAACGAAAAATCTAATGCTATAGTCGAATTGAAGACTTTCAACATTCATGCTATTTGAATGAGCTTTCAATATGAGGTGGAGACTCTATGTCGTACACAAAGAATAAACGATCTAAGAATATCATCCCAATATATTTTGGTACTACTAATTACAGTGTAGAAATAACACATAATTAAGAAAGGAATTATGATATTTTGATGGTGTAATCCTTTAGTTTTCCATTGACCTTTCCTTCATTTACAATCGACCCTTTATTTTATTTTAACTTCTTTTTTTTTTGGCAGACTTGTTATCCTGTGAGTGATTATGGAGTGATGGGTTGCCATTTTTTCTTCAATTATTACAGGCAACCAGTTACGTGTAGAGTGTTTTGACTTTTTTATGTATAATAAAAAATTTATATGTTTCCTGTGTCTCATGCCAAACAAAGAAGAGTAAAAAATACACATTATTAGAGGAAGAAATTAAACGGTGGGTCTTTAAAGGCTTCATCAGAACTGGACCAAAGGAGATTAAAATAGAGCTTTTAGTCAACAAATTCACTGTAAATTACCAACTTGTCTACTCTCCACTCTGCTAAATTAAATTAGGTTTCCCACTAGGTGTTCGGGATTCGTGCTGCATAAGGCACATTTAAGGGAAAAACACTCCCTAATAAGATTTTTTCTATACCCTAGGACTTGAACCCAAACCTCGATCTCGTTTAGAATGAAGAAATTCCATTCATCCCACCACAACCCAGATTGGTGCATGCTAAACTACATAACCTAATTGCAAGATAAACTAGTCCTGTTGCAGATTGAACAACTGTCAGTAACTGTATTCTGTGGACTGTGATCCAACGTAACTGTAGCTATGGTTGGTTCAAAGCACACTGTTTCCTGAATAATCACAACACTTCCTACTTTATGCCACGCCAAAAATTATAAAGAAAACTATTTACGGGATGGACCTAAGTTATATATTCTGATAGTGTGATTCTTTTTAACATTATCCGTCTAGTTTAATCTGCAACAATAAGTTAGCGATCACTTATATATAATTTTTAATTAATGTTTATCGTAAAAAATATCTTTAATTACTTTATACATGACATAATTTTATATGCATTTTTAATTTTATAAAAATGAATAAAACGGCTGTACAGATTAAAATAGTATTCATGTAGGTCCTTCGAAGTTAAGATTGTGATGTGAGTGAAAGAAAATCTTATGATATTCAAAAATTGCCTCAACTTCGAGGCACTTTTTAATCCAATAGATTCTTTGAGATTTTTTTTTTCCTAAAAACTTTTCAACGTTTTTTTTTTTTTTTTGAAAAAATCCCACTCCGAAATCATTGGCGATCATCCCAACCCACAACTTATAGAAAAGTCAATTTTAGGGGTGATTATTTGAAAATATCTTGTGTTTGCAAAGTCAATAAAAAGTAGTCACTATTTAAGACGACAATATGAAAAGTTCCAGTAGAATATGTTGGATTATGGAACTCCTGCATATAAATTTTTAGTATATTATATTGGAACTCC